AAAGCAGACTAAATGACAGATTTCCTACACTTGAGGAGAGTGGAAAGGAATTGGCTGTCAGGAAGCTGAAGGGTATCTGTTTACGTGAGGTTTTCAGGCTGAAGGTTGACACACAGCTTGTCTGCTCAGAGATGAGAATGAGCCAGAAAAATATCCAGATATTGTTGTGGAAAGTCTTTTGAGGTAATTCCATTTGTCTGTGTGGTCCATCTCACCAGTCAAGTGTAGGCAGCTAGAGATGGGGTTGGAATGCTAGCTAAGTATTACTCTGAGAAATGCCAGAATTTATAAACGCTAACGGCAACAGAAGTATGTCATTCTATATAACCTTCAGTTATAATCAGTATTGTTGCTAAACTTCCAGGTGCAAAAAACGCTCCTTTGGCATGTTATGAAGAAGTCAACAGTCAACAAGACAGATTTGGACACTGTGGAAATCACCCGAAAGATGGGTATCAGGCCTGTTCTTGGCTGTATGTTTCAAGGAGTGGAAAGTGTTTTACTGGGAATGCGTATTTAATTTTTACTTACCTTTACTGTGGATGCCAATAGGTGGACTCTGTTGGGAGGCTGCATTTCTATAAGGTTTTCTTTTGCTGGGCTACATTTTTTTCTTCTAGTAGCCTTAGCCGTTCTTAGAGAAATGGTTTTGATACATTGAGCTTTCCCCTGAAGCAGATAATACTGGTGTTTGGAGGAATGGGTTCTATGTAAGGGACATTCACGGGTGAGCAGAGTGCTCCGTGCTGGGCACGACAAATGTGAGAAGCCTCGCGTGCTCAACGTCTCCTCTTCCTGATGAGCACACCCTTGTTTTAGTCTGAGGAGCATGGGAGGTGCTGGAGACTGTTGAAAGGATACATGAGAAGCAATTTCATGAAACACCTAACGGTGCAATCATTTAATATCCTTTTAGAACAGCTTCTCTCCTTCTATCGAGGATCCAATTCTTCTTGAAACCTAACCTGCTGTGAATCTTTTCTTATTTAAATCTCCCTTCCCAAGTTGTGACTTCTCCAGCGATGTGATCAATGAGATGCTGTGCCCACACTTAATGTCTTGTGCTAATCAATTCATTTAGGAATCTAGGATGTGGAAAGTTAATATGTACGTACCCGAATCGTATTCCGTTCACACAAATTAAAGGCGCCGTAATTTATGCTCAAGTGCAAGAACATCTGTGTGTGTCTTTTGATTATATGCGCGGACCCACGGTGCTAGATCCTCTCCTGGTTAAAGAAGGCACAAAATGCGGTCCCGGAAGGGTAAGAAATATTTCATAAGCACCTGAAAGTGGCATATGTTTAAATATGCCACAAGTGTAGCAGTTTTAGAAATAGTTGTCTTTTTGCAGTGTAGTTTAAAGATAGTCTGTACTTAGGTTTTTGTTAATTATTACCTGTGCTAATTTACTTATTGAGCGTTCTTTAGACCTAGGATTCTTTTTAAGAGTTATGGCTTGTGTGATAGAGTGATGAAAAAGCGCTCAGATGGAATTTTTTCCTTTGGGACTTCTAGGTTTGTGTGAATGGCACTTGCCATCCACATTCAGTCCTGAAGTATGATTGCAATCCGCAGAAAAAATGCCATGGACATGGAGTAAGTAACAATAATGCTACTGATTTAGTGTTACTGTTTTGAGTAATACTGCTGAAGAAGAGAGAGAGTTTCTTTGATTTCAGTTTCCACGGTGACTTGTTTGTGAATTGGCTGGAGAGGTGTTCTGGGCTGATGCTTGTTCTCCAAAATTGTTGTGCAATAATGAGTTATGGTGGGAGAAATTAAAGAATATTACCTAAGTTACTTTCTGTCCTAAGACCAAAAATAAATGAGATAAAGGAGCGTGGATTATTTGCTTGTCTAGATTAGCAGAAAACTGACAAGGGATATCTAAAGAGGATGGAACTGCACAGAATTGAACTAGTGTCAGAAATAATAAGGATAGTTGTGGAAGGTGAGAGGCAGCATGGCATATAGCAGACCGGGAACGCAGAAAGAAGCTCGAGCAGTTGTCGCAAACATCAGCGTTGATTAGTGTTTGCAGCCCAGCGTTGAGTAGTGTTTGCAGCCTGGTTGTAACCGCAGCCGTGGGAGTCTGCGTAAGAGGGAAGGGGGTGGGCAGGAAAACAGCAGTCCTACTGAAGACTTAGTAGCAGTCCTCACTACAGGTTTTTATAAACCGAGAATGTTTTGTTTCCACCCCGATGCTCCCAGGTATGTAACAATAAGAAGAATTGCCATTGTTATCCAGGCTGGAAACCTCCAAATTGCAAGGTTCAAGGGTCTCCCTCAGGCGGCAGCGTCAACAGCGGGCTGCGGATGCTGGACGCCGGTGAGTACCCTGAGCTGGGGCTTTGGATTCCTGGTGCTTTTACTGGGTGCGACGGCAGCTCCCACCATCTTGGAAGCAGCCTCACAGAAAAATCTCACAACTGAGCAGGCTGCTCTTGCTATTGCCTTGCCATTACCTTGAGCTGCATGTTTGGTTTTCTCCCTAGATCTTATCTCAAAAAGCTCCTCCAAGGACCTGCTGAAGACCTGGCTGCTGCTCAGCTTATGTCTCTTCCTCCCTGTTGTTGTTGGTGGCACCATCTTGATTATGAAGAGGAAGCAGCTGAGCAGATTCTGCGTGAGGAAAGGGTCACAACCTGACGGGTAAATGAATTTTAGTTGTCTAATGCAAATCCTCTTTTCTGGGTCTGGGAGGTGGGCAGGGATTTCTGAGAGCAGTGAATTCCCGAACAAGGTCATGTGAATGGGATTTACAGCCTAGGGAGGGGCAGGGAATGCAGCACTTTGGAAACAATGTGGTTTGTAAACTGTGGAAACTGTTTGTGGCTCATCAAAGGAGGAAACTAGCGAACAACAAACAGACTTAGAAAATGTACAAAGGTAGCAGAAGTGAAACTAACAGAAGTGAATTTCATGACATCAACCTTGCTGTCTGTGTGAACGAGCTAGAAAAAATTGGTTTTCTACTTGCTAATTCCTGGGAAAAGCAAACCTTAGAAGGGCAAAAGGGGGATGCAGGAGAAGGGGCAGGTCTCAGTAAAGATGGAGAAAGCTGGAAGGCAATGCATTCTGTCCAAACATGGAGGAAAAGAGCATGTGAGAGACAGCGTGAGGGCCCTGAAAGAGCGAAGGGAAAGCATGAGTTCAGCACACAGATTTAGACAAAACGTCTTGTAGGTTCTTCTGCCCAGGACTCTCGCGGGTTCTTCTGCCCTGGCAGAAAAAATATGTCCTCTAAACTGTGGGTGCAGAGATGTGCACCATGATAGCCTGTGCAGCATTTACCCGGTAAAGTGAAGTAATACAGACACAGTACCATGTGCTCCAAGGAGGGGACCTGCTGTTTGCTCTCCCCTAACTGATCCCCGAAGTGCCTCCCTTGGTGCAAGGACAGATTCCTTGCTGTAGAGAAGCGTGGTCGGGAAGCATCAGACTTTGCCCTCCTCCTGTCTCTGTCTCCACTCGGCACCGTGAGGCCTAGGGTTCTGTTGCTGACAAAGGAGAGAGCATTTGTATGGGGTTTACTGGTGCACTGTGGCACAGGGTGTCCCCGACAGCCCTTGCTCTTCCCAAAGAATTGGGCCTCTTGTCAGGCTTGCGTGTCTGTGCTGAGGAGCACGTGTGCAGAGATATCGGGGAGGCCCTGCAGCGGCTGCCAGAGAAGTGAGCGCTTTCTCTGGGACAGAGCCCATCCTCTGCTGGGGGACATACTACTCCATGTGGCTGACCAGACTCTGAGGAGGTGCCGTGCACGGTAGTTCACAGGCTAGGTATGAAATCATGCTCCTTCCCCCTGCCTCTAACTCCCCTTCTTCCAACCCTAGGTCAGAAGATGGCAGTCTGTCCAGGTACGAGAGGTAAGACCCCACGCTGAGCCCCTCCCTGCCCCGGTAAAGACAGACTGGCTCGGAGCGGAGCTGTGCCTGCCGTGCCAAGACACGTTATGTCAGGTTTTGCCGAGCTGAGCTGTGCTGGGCCTGGCCATGCCGAGCCAAGCTGTGCCAAGTGTGTCTGCGCGCTGCCGAGCGTGTGGTGGTCGGGCTGTGATCTGCTGAGGCAAAGCATGGTCGGGCTGGGCTGGGCTGAGCAGGGCTGTGCTGGGTGCCGTGCCAAGACACGTTATGTCAGGTTTTGCCGAGCTGAGCTGTGCTGGGCCTGGCCATGCCGAGCCAAGCTGTGCCAAGTGTGTCTGCGCGCTGCCGAGCGTGTGGTGGTCGGGCTGTGATCTGCTGAGGCAAAGCATGGTCGGGCTGGGCTGGGCTGAGCAGGGCTGTGCTGGGCCAGGCTGAGCGATGCTATGCGGGGCTGTGCGGAGCCGGGCGCCTGGCTGACAGTGCCACCTTGTCCCTCCTGCTGCAGCTCCGCCGCCGAGGATGGCAGTGCCGCCACCGCAGAGTCAGAGCGAGAGGAGGAGCTGGAGCCGGAGCGGGAGCCAGAGTCAGGGCCGGTCCGGGGCGGGCGCCGCGGGCAATAAAGGCGTTGGCGGAGCCGCGCGTCGGCGCCTCTGTGCGGGGCGGCGGGGGGCACCCGCGGTTAGGGGCGCGTCGCGGGGAGCGGGGCGGC